TAGTATCCAACCCTCTCAAGTATACACAGTCATTATTATCGCTCTTATACAATTCTTAATTAATTACTATAATTAGTTAATACCTTGCCTATCAATATAAGAACGGTAACAATATGTTTTTTTGTAATAAAACTAAAAATTATATAAAATAATAATATTTATTTTTGCAAATAATATAAACTTTAAAATTATTAATTATAAGTAATTTAAAGTATTTTTATCTTTGAATATTGATTATATTTTTCAATAACTCCATTTTAATTGATTAATATTTGGTAACCAAGTGATTAATCACTTGATTTCTGAAGATGACCAATAACTGGTGATCAAGTTACAAAATATAATTAAAAGTTGATCACTTAAAAATTAACCAATATTTTATTGGTCACGTAACAACCAATCAAATTAATGAAAATTGACCAATAAGATGATTTCATGTGATAAAAAATTGTCAATTTAAGTAGCCAAATTTATACATTTAAAATTCTGTCCAGTAGTTTGAGAGGGTTTATCTTAAAGAATAATATTACTGGTTTGGTTTTTCTAATTCTATCTAATAGATTTTAAAGATACCCTATTTTTATTAGATTTCCGGAACATAGAAGAGGCAGAATTATAAAAGAAAGAAAAGAACTACAAATTATTAAAATAATACCGATACTGAAATTTTCAATGCGTTTTAGTCATGTGATAAAAGAAATAATGGAAATCCTCGCCTGCCAAGACATTAAAATTAGTCAAATTAAAGTCAAAATAGAATAGAATAAAATAAAATATCTACCAAATGATTCAACTTTTACTTCCCAACAATCGCGTTTTAAATGGCGTCGACGGAAATGTGGTTGACCAAATGTGATATATATGAACTATATAATTTATTGCATTAATTCAAATCTTATTCAAAATAATAAATAAAAAAATAAAAAATTACCTTCCCACCAGGCTTCAAGACTCTAACCACCTCATCCACCTCCTTTCTAACATTCTCCACCACATCTTGATCGGGATCCCAAACATCACCTTTATCACACATTAACGCGTCCATTGTTCCCTTATCAATCACATAATCGAAAGACGTGTCCGAGAATTTTAAGTTGCGAACATCCATCACCAACCACTGCATTTCTTTGTGTGTTTCGTGGCATCGTTTGTACATTTGATCGATTACGATTTTTGAGAAATCGATGTTTGTGATTTGACGGTAGTTTGTATTGTCGTCGTATAGGTTTTCTGATAGTGCTTTAAATTAGTTATTTAGTTATTTAGAGGAATATATGTGAATCAATGCATTGAAAAGTTAGATATACTTGAATTTCCGCATCCAAGCATCAAAATTTTCGGTGAATTGTGAGTTAGATGCACGTTAAATAATGGTTTTAGATCTTTATACGTTTTGAACCAGTCAAACGTTTTTGTATTAATTTCGGATGTTATCATTTCTCTATTATTTTTCAAGTTTAAAAGGATTTAGCAACTAAAAAAGAATTATTTAATTCTAAATTAATTATTAACTCACTTTTGATATCTCATGTCCCAGTATTCTTTGTCGCGATAAGCGCGAACATCGTTAGGGATCACATCATCATTGTCATTATTGTCAATGTATTTTTCGTTTTTCTCGGTTTCTTCTTGGTCCATTTTTTTTTGGTTATCAATAATTAAAATTTATAACAAAATAAATGCACTAATGTTTTTTTCGAGAAAAATTCGCTCATAAATGAAGTGGTTGGGACAATTAGTAAAAAATTTCATCGTTATACGAGAAAATCTAATTAGCAGTTGTCTTCGTTATAACGAGTTTTGACTATAATTAGTACACTTTAGTTCACTGTGAACCATCAATAAATATAATTTTATTAATATTGATCATTATTAAATATTTAGATAAATCTGATTCTATATATCATAACTTCAGATTTGACCCGCTTATATTTACATCACTGGCCTCTTTCTTATTTTTCTTTAAGGATCGTTTTGTACCGTCCTTCTCTATCAAGGATACATTCTATATAATTAAATAAGATTAACAAATTGACAACAAATAAAAAATTAACTAAAAATAAGATCGAATAAAACTAATAAGTTACCTGTTGTCCCATCAACACATTCAACATTTTCTGTTTGTTGTTATCATTGAAGTTGGTCTTTTTACTGCTAGGGTTCATCCTTTAAAAGATAAATTAAATTACAAAATTGCGAAACTTTATGATCAGAATCGTGGTCTAAGTTAATTTATATCAACAAAAGACAACTTACTTTTGTTTGGCCTCATTCTCTCGCTTTTTATTTGCATTCTTTCTTGCTCGTTTTTTAGAAGCACGTATCCGTTTTTTCTCGGCAGAGTCTAGTTCAGTTTCTCCCTTTTGAATAAAAATAGTAAACAGTTATTTAAGGTACACAAAAAAAGATACTATAAAAGATGTATAATAAGATAAATAAATACTTTAACTTCGCCCTTTTTCTTCTCAAAAACTTCTTCTGGTGCTAATAAAGACGCGTCGTTCACATTCACCGGAATGACTTCTTCCATAGTGATAGCAGGCACATTGGAAATGACATTAATTTCCGGTTTAGGCTTAAAAAAGAAAAATTAAATAATTCATATTCAACAAATTACTCGTGTAGTCATTTGATTTCAATAAAATAAAATTTACCATTTTAGGTGTATAATGAAAGTTACTCAACGCATCCAATTTATGACACAACGTTCTAAACATATTCTCAATCTCTTGATGCTCTAATTTCAGTTTTTCGTCTTTTTCGTTGACGTATTCATCGGGGTTTGTCTGTTTTACGTACTCGCCTTCATAGATTTCTGCTAGGGATTTTTTGGATTTTTCATGGTCTAGTTCTATTAGACTTGATGGAAGGAATGGACGCATCGTGAAGACGGTTTTACGTTCTACATCATCGAAGGTTCCCTATGAGATTACAAATACAAAAATATAAAAAAAAAGATACGGAAAATCTGGATTTGGAATTTATATTATGATGTCTCTTACATCCAATATTCTTTGCTTTATTAAGTCTTCCAATTTTTCGGTAACTACTTCGGTGATAACTGGAATTGGCTGATTATATATATTAACACTTAGTACGACATCAATAAGTAATAATAGATTTCAATTTAAAAAAAAGTTTATTCACCTTGACAGCATGATCAAATTCCAAATCTTCCTCGAGCAAGCTATTCAATGGCCGATCTTTACTAGATGCCTAATAAAAACCCAAATTAAATAAATGAGCACAAATTGAAAAGATTAATTTTGATATATTACCTCGCCTACGAGTGTCCAATCCTTTTCCGCAATATTTCCAAGCTCAAGATTTTCAATCTGTTTTTGCATCTTCTCTTGTTGTTTCTGAAAGGACGACTTCGTTTCTGTCTGTTCTAATATAAACGATAATTTAAAAAAAAATAGCTCCAAACATCTTGCCTGAGGCACAATATTTTATTTTATTTTTTATTTACCTTCTTCATCCTCATTTTTGCCTGGTGCAAATAAATCACCCAATTTCGCAGCTAGATTTTTAGTGGAACTTTTTTCTCCTTGATTATTAAAGTAAACATTGTCACTTTTATCAAAATTTGGTGAATCTTGTTCTGAATCGGTGTCTCGGTTGTATTTAGTTTCCTTAGAAGTAGGTTTAGTAATAGACTTTGATTTTCTTTTAGGTGGGTTGAAAAATTCATAATACGTAATATCTAGTAATTCGAATTTAACCATATTAATGAGATTATCCTTTTTACACAATAAAGTCTTTTATATTTATTTAGATTACCATTAGCATTCAAGTCACTATCATCAGCATCTAACTTATCCGGATCTAAAAAATGTAAAAGTTTAATTGTTTGATACCTTAGATTTAAAAATTTCATGACATCAATCACAGACCTGCAAAATAATCAATGTCCTCGTCATCTTCAGATGAGCTATTATTATTATCCTTGTTATCATCTTCATTCATTATATTTTCATCGGTGAACTTGTTAAACTCTTCCAAATTGAAAAATTCATCATCCAATTCAGGATGAGAAATTGGTTCAGAAGTAAAAACTTTTTTCTTGTTATTCTGGATATTTGTTATTTCATCATTTAGCCAAAACAATTTTATATTTTAAATTGAGAATAAGTAATATTTAATTTTACCTCATCATTTTCTTCAGAATACTCATCGTCTTCATCGTCATCTATCTCTTGTTCATCATCATCATCATCTTCTTCAATATCCATTTCCAGAAATTGATCACTATCATCTTCATCCTCATCTTCATCACTATCTAATTGTCCTTTCTTATTACCACTATCATCACTATCTTCATTCAAATTCACAGACTTTTCATTTGCACTTTGACCAGATCCCGTGATCACATTACACAACTCGTTATATTTTTGGTCAAAAAGTTCAAAAAATGGCCGATTTTTCATATTAATCTGTTGCCATATTTGCTCGTTGTCGAATCCATCCAGTAATAAGATATCAAATGATGGAACATTTTGACGAGAATTGATTATTGATGATATTTTGCCTGTATTAACAAGATTGAATTAGATTTTATTAATATTATCATGCAATTCATTCAATTAATTGAAATTTTTTCCTTTGGTTCATTATTTACTGATTTTTCGGAATATCAAAAATTTGGTCCAAATGAACACCGAAATTGCAAATTGACAAGGTACCTCCTAATTCATACAATTGTTTCGTCGCTTTCAAAGCTTCAGAACGTGCTTCAGGGTCAGCATTGAAAAACAAATGAGGCTTTTCCGAGGGAAGAGTACAAAAGTTTGACAGTGAATTGACTGACATGATTTTTTTCTCAAGTTTTATTCCAGCAAATTTTTATGTATAACTGATCACGTGTAATTATAGGGTACTAGCGTTAACGTTACGGGAAGTTTACGGACAGTGCTTCGGAGTGGAGGACATGTAAAATTGCCTTTCTAACACTTTTTATTAGTACTTCAAGCGCATTCTTATTGGTTTGCGCCACTCAGCAGGGAATTTACTAATTTCCACCCCAAGTTCTGATTGGTTGAGGATATTAAAGATTAATTTTAGTGTTAGGGTTAGTGTCAAGGAATAAAGTTATACAATGGAAATTAATTGCATCCAATCAGAACTTAGTAAATGCCTCAACAAAACGTTCTTATTGGGTTACACCACATCACGCTCACGTGAGCATGAATTTTTGTTGGTGATGCTGGACCGGAAGTGCAGGATCACGTGGCCTTCAAAACTCCACGCTCACGTGATCATGGAAAATTGACGTTAAAGGTTTGGATTAGGGGTTAGGGTTAGCGCTGAGGATAAGGTTATATGCAAAATTGCTTTTCAAGCTAGATTTTGATATCTGTTTTCCACATTTTATTTTTCTTGTGTCAAAGGCCACATGATTCAGAACTGTCCCCGTGCTGAATCACGTGGCCTTTGACACAAGAAAATTAAAAATGTGAAAAATGTGTCAAAATCTAGCTTGAAGTACTAATAAAAAATATTGGAAAAGCAATTTTACCTAACCCTAATCCAAATAATAAAATAATTTTTAACGTCAATTTTCGTGATCACGTGAGTTTGGATTTTTAAAGGCCACGTGATTCAGCACTGTCCCGAAGCACTGTTCGTAGACTTCCTGTAGACTTTAACGTTAAGCACAAAAATTCTCTTGATATAGATCGACATCTGGTTTACGTCCGATTTAGATATACAGTGGCTCACATAAGAAGCGCAACATGAAAAGTTTCACGAAAAAATTTCTAGCACCCCCAAAATCAATCTTTTTAAAGCTAATAACCTAGAGAATAGTTTGAAAATATATAAAAAACTAGTCAATAATCTCTTTGGGAAAATTGAGCGATCTACATGATTTTTTTAATTAGTGAAAGTTTGACTTCAAATAATTTTGTTTCGAGGCAGATACCAGCAAGATTGAACTAATAAAAATCGTTCTTCTTCGTGAAAACTACCTAGCTACCAATT